ACAACAGCAAAGATATGGAAACAACCTAATTGTCTATTAACAGATGAATGGGTAAAGAAAATGTGACACACACATAGATGCTGTATATAATAACATGAAATGTTATTGAGCCTTACAAAAAGGAGGAAATCCGTCATTTCTGCAACAACATGGATGAACCAGGAGGACATTTTGTTAAGTGAATAAGCCAGACATAGAAAATTAAATACTGCATGATCTCATTCATACATAGAATCTAAAATAGTCAAGCTCAGGGGACGGGTATATGCATACACAAAGAGTGCGATGCGCACCATCCGGGGGATGGACACACTTGAAGCTCAGACTTGGGCGGGGGGGCAAGGGCAACATATGTAACCTAAACATCTGTACCCCCATAATATGCTGAAATAAAAAAAAGAAAACAGGCTAATATCACTCATTTACATAGTTGCAAAAATCCTCAATAAAATACTAACAAACCAAATTTAACAGCACACTGAAAGGATTATATACCATGACCAAGTAGGATTTACTCCTGGGATGTAAGGATATGTAATCCATCAATGGAGTACACCACATTGACAGAATGAAACATGAAAACCACACAATCATCTCAAGAGATGCAGAAAAAGCATTTCACCAAATTCAACATCCATTCATAAAAACACTCAGCAAAAAAGGTAGAGAAGGAACTTACCATTACACAATAAAGACTTTATATGAAAAGCCCACAGCTAACATCATAAGCAATAGGGAAAAACTGAAAGCTCTTCCTTGAAGATCTGGTACAAGCCAAGAATGCCCACTCTTACCACTTCCATTCAACATAGTACTGGAAATTCTAACCAGAGCAATTAGACAAGAAAAAGAAACAAAAGGCATCCAAATCAGAAAGGAAGTACAATTATCTCTATTCGCAGATAACATGATCACGTAAGTAGAAAACCCTAAAGACTTGACAACAACAAAAACTGTCAGAACTAATAAATTCAGTAAAGCTGCAGGATACAAAATCGATATACAAAAATCAGTGGCATTTCTATACACAAACAAGCTATTTGATATGAAAATTAAGAAAGCAATCCCATTTACAATAGCAGCAAAAAGAGTAAAATGCTGAGGAATAAACTTAACCAGAGGTTAAAGGCTTGTATACTGAAAATTATAATACACTGATGAAGGAAATTAAAGAAGATACAGATAAATGGAAATATTAATATATTCTATCTTCATGAATAAGAATAAATATTGTCAATGTCAATACTACCCAAAGTGATCTACAGAATGCAATCCCTACCAAAATCCCAATGGCATTTTTTATAGAAATAGAAAAAAACAATCTTGAAATTCATATGGAACCACAAAAGACCCCTAATACCCACAGCAATCTTCAGCAAGAAGAGCAAAGCTACAGGCATCACACTTCCTGATTTCAAAATATATTACAAAACTACAGTAATCAAAAGAGTATGGTACTGGCATAAAAACAGACACATAAACCAATGGAACACAATAGAGAGCTGAGAAATAAATCCACACATTTACAGTCAACTGATCTTTGACAAGGATATCAAGAACACAGAATGGCGAAAGAGTAGTCCTTCAGGAAATGGTGTTAGGCTGGGCGCGGTGGCTCACGCCTGTAATCCTAGCTCTCTGGAAGGCCGAGGCGGGCGGATTGTTTGAGCTCAGGAGTTCGAAACCAGCCTGAGCAAGAGTGAGATCCCGTCTCTACTAAAAATAAGAAATTAATTGGACAACTAAAAATACATAGAAAAAATTAGCCGGGCATGGTGGCGCATGCCTGTAGTCCCAGCTACTCGGGAGGCTGAGGCAGAGGATCGCTTGAGCCCAGGAGTTTGAGGTTGCTGTGAGCTAGGATGACGCCACGGCACTCTAGTCCGGGCAACATAGTGAGACTCTGTCTCAAAAAAATAAATAAATAAATAAACGGTGTTAGAAAAACTAGAATGGAGTTCCACATAAAGAATAAAATTGGACACCATGTAAATTACTCACACCATGTACAAAAACCAACTCAAAAAGTATTGAAGACTTAAATGCAAGACCTGAAATCATAAAATTGTTGGAAGGAAACAGGAGAAATTCTTGACATTGGTCTGGGCAATAATGTTTTGGATATGACACCAAAAGCCCAGGTAACAAAAGCAAAAACAAACAGATGGGATTGCATCAAACCAAAAAGACTGCACAGCAAAGGAAACAATCAACCTATGGAATGAGAGAAGATATTTGCAACCAATATGTCTGATAAAGTTATATATCTCAAATACATAAGGAACACAAATAACTTAATAGCAAGAAAACAAAAACCTAATTTAACAAATGGGCCAAGGACCTGAATAGACATTTCTCAAAGACATATGAATGGCCAACAAGTATATGAAAGTGTTCAAATCACTAATCACCAGGGAAATGCAAATCAAAACCACAATGAATTATCACTCACACCTGTTAGAATGGTTATTATCAAAAACACAAAAGATAAGTGTTGGTGAGGATGTGGAGAAAAGGGAACCCTTATATACTGTTGGCAGGAATGTAAATTGGTGAAGCCATTATGAAAAACAGTATGGACAGTCCTCAAAAAATTAAAAATAGAACTGCCATACAACCCAACAATCCCATTTCTGAGTATATATCCAAAAGAAATTAAATCAGTATGTCAAAGAGATATCTGTATTCCCATATTCACTGTAGCATTATTCACAACAGCAAAGATATGGAAACAACCTAATTGTCTATTAACAGATGAATGGGTAAAGAAAATGTGACACACACATAGATGCTGTATATAATAACATGAAATGTTATTGAGCCTTACAAAAAGGAGGAAATCCGTCATTTCTGCAACAACATGGATGAACCAGGAGGACATTTTGTTAAGTGAATAAGCCAGACATAGAAAATTAAATACTGCATGATCTCATTCATACATAGAATCTAAAATAGTCAAACTCATAAAAACAGAGTGTAGAATGGTGGTTGTCAGAGGCTCGGGGAGGGAGAAATGGGGAGATATTGGTCAAAGGGTACAAAGTTTCAGTTATGCAAGATGAATAAGTTCTGGAGATCTAACGTACAGCATAGTAACTATAGTTAACAACAGTGTATTATATACTTGAAATTTGCTAAGAGGTTAGATAGCAACTGTTCTCAGACACACACACTCACACACACACACACAAATTTGGTAACTATGTGAGGTTAACTAGCTTGATTATGGTGATCATTTCACAATATATACATATATCAAAACATCAAGTTATATGCCTTAACCATATATAATTTCTATTTGTCAATTATACCCCAACAAAGCTAAACAATAAAACATCTTTTCAAAAATAAAATATCCCAAAGACATTATCTGCTAAAATTAAACATATGTCCTTGACCTAGCAATTCTACTGAGGAATGAACTCAACAGAAATGTGCACATGTTCAAAAGAGACACGTTCACAAAATCGTTACTTCTAATCCTAAAAACGGAAATAACCCAAATATCCACCAGAAGTAAAATGGATGAATTTATTGTGATATATTCATAGAATGGAATGCCACAAAGCAATGAAAGTGAATGAACACCTATACCCAACATGGATGAATCTCAAACATAATAAGCATAAGAAGCCAATACAAATAATATTTATGTCAGAATACAAATACTATTCTGATAATATTTATATAAAATTCAAAATCCAGGCAAAACTAAACTATAAGCACTTATGCTTAAGTGGAAAGACCATAAAGAAAAACAAGGAATTCTGGGCAGTGGTTATCTCTGGAGGGGGAGGAATGGATTAGCAACTGGAAGAGGGCACGATAGGACTTCTGTGGGCAGTAGTTACATGGGTGTCTGCTTTGTGATAAATCAAAACTCAAAATATTTGTTTTTAATACTTTTATGTGTGTTAAATACTCCACAAGAAAAAATGTCAAAGAAATACTAAAGAGTGGGAAAAGATATTTGCAACATGTGTAAATAATGAGGATTAGTATCCAGAGTACATAAGGAACTCCTACAAATCAGTAAGAGACAAATGATCCAACAGAAAAAAAAATGGAGAAATATGAATACTTCACAGAAGAGGAAACCAGAATGGCCAATAAACATGAAAAGATGCTCAATCCTATTAACAATTAGAGAAATAAAAGTTAAATCACAATACAATTTTATACCCAGGCTACAAAAACATTAAAGGCTGACAAAACCAGGTATCGGAAAGTATGTTTCTTACACTGCTGATGGGACTGCAAATTGACACAATCTCTTTGGAGGGCAATTTGACAATAATGTAGTGAAGCTGAATTTGCAACTAGCAATTCCATTTCTGGGTATGTATCCTGAAGAAACTCTTGCACACACGAATAGGAGAACTACACAAGAAGCATCATTTGTAATAGCAACAAAATGCAAGCAACACTGTAATCAATTGGAAATGGATATATATTCCAACTAACAGTTAAAATAAACTAATTAGATCTTCACATATAAACATGGGAGAAACTCAAAAATATAATTTTAAGCAAAAACAAAAGTTGCAGAATGACTGTACACAATGGTATTATTTGTGTAAATGTTTAAACCACACATTTGGGGATACCTGCATATATAGCAAAAGTGTAAATACAGAAGCCGTCATCTCTGAGGGAAAGAAAAGCAATCAAGATAGAGTGGGGAAAAAAGGGGGGGATATATCTGTGTCTGTAACATTTATTATGTTAAATCTGAGTGGGTACATGGGTGTTTATCAGTTATAATATGTTTATTACATGTTTAAAATATTTCACTAAAAACAATAACAGGAGGACTCAGAACACAAGTCTTCTAGGAATTTCTCTTCTAGATTTAATCTGGGATGATTTCCAAGTCATAGTATAGAGTTCATGAGACCAATAGCTTTCTAAAGTCATTTGTTACCCTCTCCCAAGTTTAATTCATCAGAAATGTTTGAAGGACACTATCTTCAACACATTTTTTTTAAAAAAATACTTACCCAATAAGCAGAGATAGTTGGGTTCAGTTAATCTGGGTAGCTTTGTGACCTGATTCAAGATGTTGTAAAGCTCTGTTGGTTCACACAAAACCAAATCAGCCATCCTACTGGGAAAAGTCAATAACATACAAACTTAACATACCTCTTTTAGATGAATGACCACAAAGTAAGATACTAAATTAAGCTTTCTTAACATATCTTCAAACAAAAATGAAAGTACTCACGTAAGCAATCAGAAAGGTTTCAAAAATTTGTAATGAAATGCATGTAGAGCAGAACATTGAATACAAAATACCTGAGCCATATAAATACCAGGTAGGCTGTAAACAAGTCACCAATACATTTGTTCATTTAGCAAATAATTACTGAGCACCTACCATATGCCAGGCACTGGAAATACCTGTGGTAGGCAAAACCTACCTTCATGGAGGTTAGCCTAGCATGGAATGCAGACATTCGGGTTGAAAATTGCAAGCAGGAGGAACACAACGAAAGAGTTAGGATCCAATGTCGCAGGAGTAGCTAACAGGAGGTTCTCACCTAGTTAGAGGAACAGTCCCGGTTCCTCCAACTAGATGTTGGAATATCCTATCTCAGGACATGACTGCTAAACTGAGCCTGGAGGCTGAGCAAGAAGAAGAGGGAGAAAAGATAAACAGAAGATCAGAACATTCTCCCAGGAGCAGGAGCAAGCACAGGACCTGAGAGAGTTCAAAGGAGCCTCATGTGGATCCGGTTAAGTGTTTGCCACCAGGTAGAGTGGTCAGTGAAGACACTGGACAGGCCAACACAGCTCATCTCTGTGTTAAGGATCGCGACACTGTCAGGTGGAGAATTGTTGATATGTACTGATGGCAGGGCTGCTCTTGGGACACTGGTTCCTGGGCACAATTGTTTCTGGAAGGGTCAGGCCTGTGCTGCAGCTTCCTGCAGTGGGACTACCTTTTAGCAGGGGGGCTACAGGGAGAGCACAGCAAGACCTCTGGAGGCCAGCAGGGGGCAGGTGGGGAAGAAGTTGAGTCCAGGGGTATCGTTGCTCAAAAGAGGCTCCACTTCAGAGCTACCAGAACAATTCTCCCAGGAAAAGTCAACACCTTGACTTAAACCTCAGATCCATCTTGTCTCCTCAAAAACTTCAGTTCTCAGCACCCCCTCCAGCATCATCAATTTTAGCCTGCACATGGCACCTTTCTATCAGCGTGCAAACATCCTCTTGTCCCTATCTCTGTTCTCCTTTCCAGCAAAACTTCTCGAAAGGGTGGTGTTTAGTCACCACCTCCACTTCCTCACCTTCAGTAATGCTGACTCTGCAGACAAACTCTTTTAGGTCTGAATCCTGGCTCTGCCACTTACCTTGGGGAGTAATTAGCCTCTCTGTGCCTCAGTTTCCACCTCTGTAAAATGGGGGTAATAATAGTACTGCCACTTCTGTAAAATGGGGATAACAGAGCCTGCCTGTTGTGTGTGGACTAATGAAGTGACACTGGTAAGGCATTCTGAGCGGGGAGGACATGCACAGTAACTGCTGGCCATTGGCACAATCTTCTCTTCTAGAGCTTCCAGCCCCACCAAACCACAAAAACTGCTCTTATCAAGGTCATCAACAATGTCCATCTTGCCTAAGCCATTGGTCACATCCCCCGTGCTCAAATAATTCAGCCTCTCAGCAGCATGAAACACAGTAACGCACTCCTCCTTCCCCAAACTCTCTCCTCTCCCAAGACACCACATGCTCCAAGCTTCCCTCCTCCTCCTCAGACTGTTCCTCCCCGGCCTTCTTTGCTGGGGGCTGCAGCTCTTCAAGTAAGAATGTCCCCAGCTCAGCTACCATGTTTCTTCTCTATCTATATTCTCACTCTAGGGCAGGGTTTGCAATGTCGGCACCACTGACATTTGGGTCCAGATAACTGTTGCAGGGCGCTGGCCTGTGCCTTGTAGGATGTTTAGCAGCATCCTTGGATGTAAGCAGCAACCGCCACTCAGCTGTAACAACAAAAAATGTCTCTAGACACTGCCACGTGTCCCCCGGAAGAAAAAGGCAAAATCATCCCTGGTTGAGAACCACAATGCTAAGACCCAAAGGCTTGGTGATTGATGCAGTCCCTCGACTACCACTTACATACCAGTGACTCCCACATTTTATCCCTTGTTTGACCTCTCCACTGAGCTCCAGACGCTACTTGGGTGCCTGACGGACACCTCAAATACAGCAAGGCCAAAATAAAACTAATTCACACACGCCTACACCTCTAGTACCGATTCGTCTTTCAGTTAACAGCACTGTGATCTGCCTAGTTGTCGAGCCTGATTCGCCTTGCCCTCATCCCCTCACATCCGATCTCTGAGCTCTGCCCCTAATGTGGTCCAAGTCCATCCGCTTCTCCCCATCTCCAGGGCTACCATTCCGATCTGAGATACTGTCATCTCTCTCCTGACGGTGCACGCTGCTCAGCTGGACTTCTTGCTTCCTGCTTCTCCCTGCAGTCTGATCTCCACGTGGGAGTCAGGGCAATCTTTTCAGCATCCTAGCGTCTTTGTCTCCACCTCACTTGCCATCATCTGAAATTATCGTGGCATTTGATTGCTTGTTAATCGTCAGTCTCTCCCACGGGGATGTCTGGTCCGTAAGGGCAGGTCTTTGCCTATCACATCCACTGCCGTATCCTCACACAATGCCCAGGATTTACCTGTTGCAAAGTCGCATTCAATACACACATGTGGAATGAACACACTATTGTTAGTGACCGTTACCGTCTTCACACGTGGCCATCTCCACCTGCTGCCATACTTTTTTTGTAGATTCCTCCTAAGGACCTTCTCACTCCCCTACCTCCCACCGTGTCAGGCCCTGTCCCCAGGCCATTTTGGGGGTGGTGAGTGTAGAAGAGAGAGGGTAGGCTTTGTGTCTAATCCTACAACCTCGTTAAGCCAACCTAAAAGCTGGCTGCTAACCCACCTGGTCTACAGCTCAGAGCCCATCCTCAGCTCCCATCTGCTTTCCCCACTGAACCCCTATCTCCTCACTCACTAGCCAAGGAATTTTCTCTGGGCATCCAGATAAAAACCCAGCCCCAGGGATCTCTTCCTTCAGACCCTTCTCCTTCTCAAAGCGGGGACTATGCCTGGCCAAGCAAGAGCTCTCCATCACCTGCTGGTAAAGCACTGGGGGATGGCAGCAGTCCCCAAACCTAACAGCATGATTCTGAGACAGGACGCACCCCTGAGCCAAGATGTGAGCTGATGCCAGCACCGGCAGCTTGGGTGAGTCAAGCACTGAGCAGCAGCATTTCTCCGAGCTCTAAAGAGTTTAGATGTCCTTGGCTCCACTTTTGGTGCCCCAAGGATATTCTGACATCATGCTTTTACATAAAAACATTAAGCTGATACAGATGTGTTTTTGCCAAAAGTGTTTTCCTTAGTGAATTCTATTAAGCCAATTTAATTCCTTAATTGGTTTTCTACGTTTCACAATTAAGCAGCTCCAATTGTTTTCACTTTCAGTTTGCATTAATCACACTTGTTTTTCCCCAAGATCAAGTCTTTTCCATGTGAATTTTTTTCTTTTACAATAAATATTCGGTTCCTTAATCAGGTTTTTATCACATCAAGTTTTCCAAGTATATTTCTGCCACTGAGTTTCCTTTATATTGGTTATTTCTACCAAGTCTCATTTTCCTGGTGACTTGTTCAAAACAGTAGAGTCAAAATGGCAAGTTTAAGACATCCCTGTTTATGCCGGACTCTCGGCACAGCATAGCTCTTCTTAAGAGACTGTCAGGACATTAAGTACAATGGTCCATGCAAGGGAGGGGTCAGATGAAGTAACTTTGGGGGACCCAGCTTGATGGAGGTGAGAGATGGATCTTCCTATGAACCGATCCCTCTGGGAAATCCACGCAGCTTTCTGAGTGGCAAGCAAAGCCATTTACTCTGTCCAGAAAGCAGGTGCCAGCATAGCCTTATCCCTGGACATCCACCAGTAGGAAGGTTCTTTGCCCTCCATGAGATGACCCGTTGTGACCTTCAAACCAGGAGCTCCTGGGTGGCTCACTCTGTCAGTCAGCCTAGAGCAATTGGAAGCAGTTGGGCTGGCAAACTCCCCTCCAGTGAGAGCACATGTCTATATGTGGGGAAAACCGCAAATTGGGAACAGATATTTCACTGGGGAGGTAGAAGAGCCTGAAACTAAGGGGAAAGCCAGCCAGATCCAGCTCTTCTCCCTGCCCCCCGGGCCTGATCAACACCTGGGGCCTTTCATCCTGGCTGAGGGCAGAGCTGTCCAAGGCTGGGCCCAACTACAGGCTTCTCAGTCTCGGTCTGAGAGCTTGGCCCCATGCTCAGTGCCAAGCTACCCCAAGCCTCCGGACAGTCCAGGTCAACCCAATTGATGAGCATTTGTTTCTGGCAGAGAAGAGACACCTCTTGATGCTCCAGGAGAAGCCAGGCCACAAACTTCACTTTAGGCTGAATGGGGACCAGCAGAGGGTGACACAGATAAGTATCAGGGTCCACAGCCAACCCCACCCATGTTCTGGTTCTTGGTGGGAAACTCAGGCTGTGCCAGGATGTCCAAGGCTCCACCAGTGATGGGCATCAATGCCCTCACCTGTAAACTGAGGCAGTGATACAGCTGGAAAGGCTGCAGGAATGTTCAATCAAGCTAACTGGTGTAAACTGCCTAGCACCGGGCCTGACACACAGGAGGAGTTTAGGAAATAGACGTTCCTTCACTCCTACCCTCTCTGTTCAACTTCATCTGGGATCCTTGGACAGCTACAAGTCCAGGAGACAAAGTGGCATTCAGAGAGTCTCAGACCAAAGACCAGAGCAGGAGCTGGTAAAGAGCCTGTGGTGCTGCCCGAGGGTCAGGATCTTAAGGGGCCTACTACGGTCTTTGCATCATCCTAGCTTGACACCTCCTCTGTGGCCTGAACCTTGACAAAGCTGTATGACACAGTTCCAGGCCACAACACCCCAGAGCTGCAGAGGCTGCAGGAGTGATCCTGAAATCTGTCTCTCAGCTCGGAGGGACACCAGGTCACACTGGCACAGACGAAAGAAAGAGGAAGGAGAAAGATGAGACCTGGGCCAGCAAAACCTCCTAACT